TCTGTGTGTGTGTGTGTGTGTGTGTGTGTCTACGCTCCTCGTATATATGATTTTACTCTTTTAATTTTCCTTTTGTCATTTCTGTACCTTTGCGTTTTGAACTCTCTTCCTCCCTCTGCCACTCTTCTCTCTTCTTTCCTCTCTCCTCCCCTTTCCCCCCGCTCCTCTCCCTCTTTCTTCTCTTCCTTCTTCTTCTATTTCTTTCTTATATCTTATTATTCTTCCTCTCTTCTTTTATTCGTCTTCTTTTTCTCCTGCTTTTGGTGCAGCAAAAGGTAGGGTCTTCAGTCTTCAGTTCCCCGCACACGCTAGCTACCCCGACCAGCAGGGACACGGAGCTGAAGCCATCACCAGCTGTCGGAACTTCACCATCGGCCGGCTGTCCACAATCTTTCCTCTGACGTCATCCCGCTACCTCCGTTCTTCTCCTCCCCGCCAATTTTCCCTCCTCGGCCGACCGATCGACCGACCGATCCACCGACCGGAACACACCATGAACCAGAGAACAAACCGCATCAGGGAGGGCGCTCTCTCTCCTTTCCTTTCTCTACCTACCACCCCTTCCTCTCCGACTGAGCCACCTCTCTCTCTCTCTCTCTCTCTCTCTCTCTCTCTCTCTCTCTCTCTCTCTCTCTCTCTCTCTCTTTGCGAAAGCCCGCGTTCGCACCAGATTCCAAAGATTCGATGTGCGTGTGCCGTAAATTTGTCACCTCGCTCCCCTCTTACCTACGTCCCCATCGAGAACCATCTGGCCTAGCCGAGCTGGTGTAGCCCTTAACTGTTGAAGTACAGGCCCGAGATCGAACACCCCCGACGAGATCGGCACAAACTAGACTCACCTGCGCCATCGAGAAGCCAAACTTCTTCTACAGAAGCGGCAGAAACTAGAACCCCCAGGCCATCGATCGAGAAGCCAGACTTCTTTCTACAGAAGCATCCAGATCAGCACGTGTACGGCGGGAGGACGTTTGCCACACACGACACAGACAGAAGCCAGGGCGGGAGGAAGGGGCAAAAAACGCACACACACAAAATTCGGCGGGCAAACCGGACATCACACTCGGCGACTTCGACCTGCGCCTGCTCTGCTCTCCTCTCCTCTCCTCTGCTCTCCTCTGCTCTGCTCTGCCCTGCTCTGCTCTCCTGCTCTGCTCTGCTCTCCTGTGCGCTGAGCTGCACTGCGCTGCGCTATGATATGTGGCCCGACTGCTCCTCCCTTCCTCCTCCTCCTCTGTCCGATATCTGATACGCGTGCACGAGTACTACCGGCGGTATAGGGTGGTGGTGCACTGCTTCTGAACTGAACTCTTCTTCGACTGTTCGATACAACGTTATGCTAGGCTAGGCTACGCTGTGCAAGCCCACCAAATCAATTTCCCTCTTCGGCGGACTTGCCGCCAGTTTTGAAGAAGCAGCGCGCGGATTTCGCTTCAAGCTGCCGGCCCGCGCGCACTGCAATGCACGAGGGGTCCTTTTTTTTTTTGCAATAATTCGGACCATTTCTCGATTCGCTTTTTTGCGCAGACGCCCCCACTGCAAAGCAACGCAGTCCTCCTGCGGTCCGTGTGCGGGGCGCGCCATGCTATTGCTATTGCTATTGCTATTGCTATTCAGCCTATTCTTTTGCTGCGTATTGCTATTTCGATCATCTCGTCGCGAGGCTATTCAGCCTATTCTTTTCTTCCCTATTGCTATTTCGCTATTTTTCGATCACCGGCGGGCCGCCGCGGGGCGATGCGGCTCCGCGCGGGGTGACGAGGGGGAAAAAGGCGGGTTCAAAAGATCCATCCTAGTGGAGGGATGGACACTTCAGAGCATACTCATACATAACGCACCCTGATAACGAATGCATACAAGCTTTATTTCCGGTCAGGTACAGCCCAAATGAGGGTGCGTTGTGTTCGGGGGAAGACGGAAGTGGAAAAAGTCCAGAGCTGAATGTATCGGATTGCAAATACGTCAAGGAGAGTGTACCCTGAGTAGACGAAACTAAAGTAGCAACGTGGCCCAGTTCTTTTGGGCCAGCTTTACATTCTTTTGGGCCAGCTTTACAGCATACCCGCGCTAGGCCTCTTTTTCGACCACGCCTGGATGCACCTGACTTGAATTGCATCCACATACCAGTCGAAAAAGTCCTTGTGTGAGTATGCCCTTCCGCAGTGGAAAAAGTCCTAGTGTGATAGACCCGGAGAACTCGAAGTGCCTGCGGGACAAGGCACAAAAGTCGCATTCAGGAGGTCGTGGGTTCAATCCCCATGTTCTGCCTGGGCATGCTTAGTGTTCTACCAGCTAGTGATATCCCGTTGGCCCCCAAGCCAGCGTTGGCAGGACCTTGGCCAATATTGTTGGTTGCTATGCAGCGATGGTATTGGCCATCAGACACCGCTAATGTAGGTTTGGAGGGGGGTTGGGGGGAGGTGCAAGTGACTGCCGAAAGATGCTCGGCACTAGCATCGCCGGTTTCCCCCATCGACAATGTCTGATCACCCTCCATCATCATGATGAGGGGCTGATACAAGCCTTGCTCTCGCACCACAGCTGTCGTGCAAACCTACCCCGTGGGCTGGGGAGAGTTCCAGGTTTGGTTGGTGTTCCTCCGTACTATACATGGAGTAGCGAGAGGATGAGATAGATGAGATGCGTAGTAATATACATCAATAGATTGAGAGAAGAATATAGATCAGATAGATGGCCAGAAATAGGTAGATACACCCAGCCAGGATGCACATGCATCCAGATGCAGATTAGGCACTTGGGCGTCTGCACGGCTACATGCATTCCGACCAGGGTGATTTTTGCATGAAAAGAATTTGAGCCAGCCTTTTGCGTACTTTTCCCAAAAAAAACAATGTAGGCCATAAATAGTAAGTTCCCCTCTCTTGGCAGGCCGACCCCTAAGGTGGTGTGAGTACATGCATGCAGGGAAGTGGGAAGTTGCCACCAGACATGCGTGCTGGAATTAGGGAGTACTTGTGATGCACTCAACTCAATCCGCAACGCTTCTCTCCGACCTCCTTCCCCCCAACATACCGC